GTGTTCATTTATTGCTAATTGGTTTGATATCCTCGGATAATCGGGCGTGGGCCTGGCCAACTCGCATTCTGGAATCCGGGGGTATCATACTCCACTTGGCGCTTTTTTCTGAACTACCACTACATTTGACAACCATTGTGGGTAGTGTACTTCCCATATGAGAGTAGGAGTGATGGACCGCCCTGTAAGCTTTTGTACGTGTCAAGATATTATTGGTTATTGCACCAACTAGTCCATTTCTCAGTCGATGTACAGTCCACACGTGTGCCACCTCGTATTAATTTGTTGAAGGCATCGGTGGAACAAAAATCCAGGTGCTGTAGTTAAATCTGATCCACATGCGAAGATATAAATTAAATCACACTAGAAAATTAAGTTGCTGAGATAAATGTTCTCATAAATTATCTGATACATACTGGGAATTGTAAGTAATTGTATTGAGTTGAGGAGTCAACACATAAGGTATAAATGCATGCAAGAACAAAGGGTAGATTGTGGTATATTATAATTATGTGGGGTCTCTAATGTAAATTCAGAAATAAATATCCATAAATAAATTCCACGTAGAATGGTTAACAAAGGTTTTATTATTATTATTATTATTATTATTTTTTTTTTAAAAAAAAACGCCTAACAAGAGGAAATAACATTCAAACAAATATTGGATTACAATAAAGAGATAGAGCATTTAACAAATGCTCCACTCCAAATCACCACACTTGGCTTGCAAAGACTTTCTACCCTTGTGAGGAGTTCATTCCAAAGAAGCATCCAGACAAGACTCTTCAGAGAGGATCAAACCGATCATAAATTTACAGTCACCCTTCATAATAACATTAGACTATTCCTACTCTTTTAAGCAGCTTAACGACGGGCTACAAATGTTGCTTAGGAAAACAGAGGCTTCTGAAGAGAATTCCTTATGTTAACTTGGATCTCCACCTAGACTTTGATTTCGTGGAATGATCTCTTAAACTTAACAAGAACCTACGTTTGCAAATTTTTTTTTTTTTTAATTGAAGTAGTGGTAGACAATTCGATTGAGATTGAGCCAAACACTTTGTACAATGGTGAAAGTTCAGGTTGTAGAACACAATGTTCATAATGTGTCAAAAATTGGTATAAGAAACTGTGATATTGTGGCTTAAATTTGGTAACGCGACCCGCTTATGACCCGTTGGATGAGCTTTGACCCGGCTTTTGCTTATGGGTCGTGGACCCTAATTAATATCTTGTAACCCTTTATACAAGGGTGTTTAAGGTTTGCAGTGGAGAAAGAGAAAGACTCTGAAATTTGGCCACAAGGCCTTTTGATTTAGTGGCCATTTTATTTTATTTTTTTTTACACCAAACTAATAAAGTTGGTTGCAAGCTTAGTGCAATTGTATGCTCTATTGTGACTTGGAGATTACGAATTCAAAATAAGAAAGTAATCTTTCTACATGTGAAAGTAGAAAGTATATACATTTAACCCTTCTTAGACCCTGCAATGACAAAAATATCACGCACTAAGCTAACCCCATTTTTTTTTTTTTTTTTTTCTTTCCAAGATGACATCTTACCCTTTCAAAATTCTCCTACAAAATGACATCTTACGCTTTCAAAATGACATTACCTATAAACGGCGTTTGAAGGTGTTTGGATCCAGTACTCTAATAGCACCAAGTCGGACAGACACATTGTCTGCATGTATCGAGGATTCAAACTGCATTTGAGGTAGAGAACTGAATAAAATGGTTTATGTTATGACAAACGCAACGAACTCAAATTGAATCAAGAATTACAACAGAAAAATAAACACGCCACATAAAGAACACAAAGATTTATACGTGGTTCGGCAACAGCCAACATCCACGATTGAGATCCGGCAAAAGTTTTCATTATGTGTAAAATCGGAGATTACAAGTTTTTAGCCCTTGCTTTGTACTTCCTCATCTTTCAAACTAGAAGATTGATTGTAACGCTTGTATATGAAGTTGGAAAGGCCCAGTTCTACTTACCTGCCTTTGAAATTTTGTAGTAAACCAACACATCAATCAGTTGGGCTTCTAAAGGATGATCCTAATGACACCATAAACAAGGTTAAATCTACTTTGGGCCGAAAAAGAACATAGTCATGTTCAATAGCTTTCACAAACTGATATCAGTGGGCTTTTTGTCGTTGGGTGAGACTAACACAAACAACATTATACCAAGTGCCAAATCTAACCAAATGCCAGTATATTATAAAGAATAATGCTTTATGTTTTGAATTTGGACTTGTCCGAAACGGAGTTATGTGAGTGGTTGTGGTGAGGCTAATTTGAACTTATCTGAAATGAAGTTAGGTGAGAGGGGTGAAGTTATACGAGTGGGGTGGTGGCCATAGGGTGCAATTTGGGTTAAGTAACTTGAACCCAACTCGATTTTAGGCTGATTAAATTATGATTACTTTTTTTTTTTTTTTTTTTCAACTTCTTTTATTAAATATTAATTTATTGTATGTTAACAATTGGGAGAATTAATTTTCGAAAAATTTGTTTGTAATTTATTAAAAATTTACAACGTCTTTAAACTTTTTGTTGTTTAAGAGTAATTTAATTTAAAACTAATTCAAGATCATATTAAATTTTCGGTGTAAGGATTAACCATATGAGTAACCCGAATTAACCCGAAATTTTTACCGGAATCTAAGCCCAAGTTACAAGTCTGAATTTAAAAGTTAAGTGATAGGTTGGGCTTGGATTGAGTAGTTAAAGTTGAAGATAGCTTGGGTTCAGCATTTCATATAGTGAGTTGAGCTCAAGTTATACCTCAAACCCGTCCAACTCACCCGAATTGCAGCCCTAGGTTGGACACATAACTCTAAAAAGACCAAATTTAGGACCGAATATCATAACTCTATTCTAAAATCTCACATATGAAAAACAATTGTAATTAGTTAATTTTAAAGGATGGATTCGAAGCTCTTAAATATAACTCTAATAACTTTATATATTATTTTTGAAAGACAAATGTTTTTTTTTTTTAATTCTAAAACCCGCCAAATGATAAAATAATAAAAGCACCAAATTAAAAAAATTAATACAAAACTATAAAGTTTTTTTTTTTTTTTTTTCGAAAATTAAAGCAATTTTCATATATGAATATAGATAATGTACAGGAGATGGGCTTTTGGCCCACAATAGAAAAGTCTGGTACATGTCCAGCAAATAAGCCCAATATTAGGGCAGATACAAGATAGTGTAACTGCCATTAACTCGTCAATCTCAGCCGTACATGGATTCACCGCCTCTGGATCAACGATCCTCATCGCACGCCACAACACACTACAACACTTGAAGACACACGATCACCCCTCTTGCTCCTCCATTTTGCCTCAGCCCGTTCTGCCCTAAACCTAATCTGGGAGTGGAGAGAGAGAGAGAGAACAATGGCGACGTTAGCAATGGACAGCCGGTTGTCTTTCGCCATCTTTAGACCTCTCACACCGAGAAAGCCGGAAGTGAAACCCAAATGTAAGCCCTCTTTCTGCAACCCATTATTAGCTAGCATATCAATCAATGAGTTAATTCATATTTTATAAATCTCATTCTGTATTTTCTAATTTGATTTGTTGACTTGAACGCTGTAATAGCACTATGGACCCTTATAGTTCATTCAGTTTCGACATCATCCAAATCTCCCTTTTATTGAAATAGAGTGTAGAAATAAGAGTTCAATGAACTTATACCTATATCATTAGGCTCGAGGGAGCTCTTCTATTCCAACTGTGTTGTAGTCTCATGGTGCAAGATTGACCTAAAGATGGTCATCGGTTCAAGGTCATGGTAGGACATCTGATATCATGTTATTTCTTCAGGGTTCCAGTATCTTTGTGTGACCTAGACACAGGTGCTTGAGGTGTGGCAGCCCCGTACACTGTGATGAAATCCTTTGAAATCCTTTGGGTTCTTTCTATTTTCTTGTCACGTAACCAACTGCTTTAATAGAGGGAAGATTTCGGTAATAGCTGCTACTTGTGTTGGTCTAAACAAAAGATTCACTGTCCTCTACATCAATATGGCTCATTCTAGAAACAGCTGCTCATAGAAAGTGGCAAGAGTGCCCTCAGCAATGCATATTCTAATATTTGCTTCGGTGGTTAATGCTGTGCCCTTCTCTCCCACAAGCTTCTCTTTCAGGGTAGCTATTATGACTATGGCAGTACTTGAACATTTTCTAATAAATTCATATTTTATAAATCTCTCTCTCTATATTATTAGTTTATGTCTTTACATTCTGAGGTTTGTTTGTCTCAAAATTGTTTTAAAGGGTTATAAGTTTATGTCTTTACATTCTGAGGTTTGTCTCAAAATTGTTTTAAAGGGCATCACCCTCATTTTCATTTGGTAGAACAAGTAGACCAATTTAATAGAGAGTATTTTGTATTTTAATTTGATTGAAAAAGAAAGCTTTAATTAAAATACAAAGCCTTTCCAGTTAGATCTAATTGGCAGATCCTTTTCATCTAACTTGCTGCAATGTAAAACCATCCGAGTCCATAAATCTAACCTTCATAAATACTGGAAACATTACTTTCACTATTAAAGGAAATGAAAATTTTTCGTCAATGTGTCCACTTCCAAGAAATGAAAAGAAAGGATCAGATTCCCAAAAGACTAGAGAAGAAAAGATTTCTGAAAATGATTCAGATGACAATGCCAAGGGTGGTAAGGAAGCCAAAGGCAAGACATGCTTCCCCAAAATAGGTGATAAATACTACAAGAAAAGTTATAATTTAATGTGTGATTAGATTCTAATTACTTTTTCTTAAACTATCCTTTTATTTCTTTTTATTTGCAGCATGTGCTTTCTTGGTGATGCTTGTCCTCCTCATCTGGTTCTTCATCATTTGGTTATTAATCTGGAAATTGAAGTCAAAAGAAATTGCACCCCCAACCCGTCCAAACCAAGTCAAGATGCCCCCAAATATGGAGGCTCCAGCCTCCATAAGCAGTTCCAAAGATCTCAGGAACATGTCAAAGGAAATAAAATCCGTCGACTAAGAAGTCTATACACCAGGTATATTTGTATTGATTGATAACCTTTTTAAAAATCATGATTGAATACTACAAGAAACATATTTTGACTGACATACTAAACTCCATAAACCTGCTAGGACAACGTACTTCGGCATATTAAAACTTTTACTGTCAATAATCATGGTATTCACTAATGTTGCCTAGGAGAACATATTTTGACATACTTAAAACTGCTAAGACAACATATTTTGACACAAACAAGATACGTTTGTATCACAAGGCATGGACATCTCCAGTAGAGTAGCAGCGAGGGCTATCAACATCAGTCCCTGCAACATAGAAATTAGAAATTAAAGAATAATTTACTAAAGTTCCATATCTAAATAAACGGAAAGGTAGCATACGCAATACACACAGAAATTCAATGATACAGAAACTTTAAGCTCCATGTCAAATCTTCAAGTACTATTACTACTTAGCAGCCAATATACAAAACTATACTAGAACAGACGACATAATGATTTTAAATTTTGGAGCGCTGAACGTTATTGCTTTTCTTCAAATATGCAAATGAGAAACAAGCTGATAAAGATATAGTTGTATGCCCTGATGGCTTGATGACATTTCTGAAGGGAAACATTCATTGACCTGATGGCATTTGTGAAGGGAAACCTTCATTCAACCAAAGCTATCTGCGTTGACCAAATTCATCTTTTTCGCAGAGGTGAATGGTCACACTATATCAGAGCTATCCTAGGGACGTCTAAAATTCTGATAACAATTTTAAACTGGGGGACTGGGGTTTAATAATCTGACAAATCTCTATAAAAGCAACATACATTGTTGAAGTTCATGGTCAATTTAGGCGTTTCACCTTCTCAATATTAATATTTATTTGAACATAAAATACCAGTCCAATAATTCCAAGCATGTGAAAATTTTGACCTATTTTGACCTTGTGCAAGACATGTTATTCAATAAGAACTTTTTCGTTTATCTTTATATATGCCAATTAGAAACAAGCTACCAAGATATATGTAGATTGTAGGGCGTTAGAAGACATCACTATTAGTACATTAGAAGACATCACTATTTTAACTTTTGACAAAAAAATTTAAATTGGGGTACTAAGGTTTAATAATTCTTTCAACTCTCTACAAAAGTAACATCCATCAGCTCATGGCCAATTTAAGGCATATCACCTTCTCAAGATTAATATTTCTTTGGATGTCCTCCCTCAAACTAGGTTCAATAATGTACGGCACATAACAACATGTGAGATACATATATCTTTGTAAATAGATATTTATATATGTACATAGGTATAAAAATTATAATATATATATATATATATATATATATATATATATATATATAAAATCATTCTCGTTTTTCAAGTTAAATACATATATTCTTCACAAACTTTTATGTGTAGGGCATTAGAAGACATCACTATTTTAATTTTTGACAAAAAAAATTAAATTGGGGTAGGGTTTAATAATTCTTTCAACTCTCTACAAAAGAGACACCCATCAGCTCATGGCCAATTTAGGTAGGCATTTCACCTTCTCAAGATTAATATTTCTTTGGATGTCCTCCCTCAAACTAGGATCAAGAATGTAGGGTCCAAGTGACAAGTCATAGCTCTAAATATAACAAAATGCTTCTATAGAAGTTAAGAACACGCACATGGATACATAATACATATATGACAAATTCTTAAATAGAAATATCAGAATTCGATAAGGACATCTTTGCAAATAGATATTTATACAAGTACATAGGTATAAAAATTATAATATATATATATATATATATATATATATATATATATATAAATTTAAAATCATTATTGTTTTTTAAGTTAAATACAGATGTCCTTCACAAACTTTTATGTGTCGACTATCAAATATTGTGTTTCTAGCTTATAACATTAAAAGTAACTTTTATGATGTAATACAAGAAAAGTTATAATTTAATATTCAAGATCATTCTATTTTTTTTAATACTTTAGAAAATACAAGATATGTAACTGCAATATCTGAGAAGTATCCAATAAAAACAAGAGGATACAACTCCCTAGTCAATATGGCCAATTTAGGCATAGACATCCCTCAAACTAGGTTCAAGAATGTAGGGTCCAAGTGACAAGTCATAGCACTAAATATCACAAAATGTTGAACATGCACATGGATACATAATACATAAATGACAAATTCTTAAACAGAAATATCAGAATAAGGACATAACATGTGATATACATATATCTTTGTAAATAGATATTTATATATGTACATGGGTATAATAATTTTAATATATATATATATATATATATATATATATATATATATATATGCACCGAAGTATAAATCTAAAATCATTCTCGTTTTTTAAGTTAAATACATATATTCTTCACAAACTTTTATGTGCCGACTATCAAATATTGTGTTTCTAGCTTATAACATTAAAAGAAATTTTTATGATGTAATACAAGAAAAGTTATAATTTAATATTCAAGATCTGTCAAACATAGGGAAAAAAATTATTCTCTTTTTTTTAATACTTTAGAAAATACAAGATATCCAATAAAAACAAGAGGATACAACTCCCTAGTAGATATGTGCTTTCGATCATAGAAAGTATGTATGATTATATTCCTAGAACCAAAAAAAGGAACCAAGAAAAGTAAGCTTCAATGGATGAATATCATAGAAACTTTAATAGTTTGAGTACACCCAAAAAAATAATTAATCTCCTACTCTAAGATAGACATCATAAAGCTGAAGATTATGAGTAACTTACCATGTCCTGGAAGTAGCCTGTCCAAGAAACAAGGTCTCGTTGTTGTTAGTCGCGCCTCAATGCATTTCTTGTGATCATGCAGAAACCAGCAATATATTGGGCTCCTCTTTAGGTTAGTTCTTTTTCCTTGATGATTTTTCAGGATGAAGGGATGACTTGTTCTTAATATCATTAAGAGCCTTATGATTTCTCTCTTCTATAGTTGTACAATATCTCTCCATAACCTAAAAAAAAAAGAGAGCTAATTAATAGAGATTTTAAGGCCCCAATCAAATATTCCCCTCCATCAAAGGATTTTCTGTTCTGCACCCTCCAAAGACACCACCAAAGGAATAAGGGTGCTGTGATCCAAAAAAACATGGGCATGTGATCCAGAAAGCACCCTCTCCAAACATCAATCCCTTGAAAGTGTGGTCTATCTCATCACTACTATATTTCGTAAGGCTATATCTAACCAATCTTGTTTCCCCAATGCAACCTAATATAAAAGTATTGCCTATTTAAATGAAACAACTAAAAAAACATTGAAGACCTACTAATAGGCATCCATTGAAAAATCAACACAATATTCAGTGTCCATTCCAAAGATTTTATAAATTGTCCATCTGCAAGCCTTAGTTAATTGCACCAAACATGAGTGCTTTCTCTCTACTTCCCTGCAATCTGCATACAATCACCAAAACAGAGACATTTTTATGATTATTAAACAACTGTCGTAGAGCTGACTATAGGGCTAGGGTGCTGTAACGTACAACCTACCATATTGGACAATGTCACCATTTAAACACCCAGAATGAAACACTCAATCTGATTTTTCACTAGCCAAACCGAATATACAAACGAATAATTGTGCACCTGACTCTAGATATATAGAACAACACTTTGTCAATTTGAGCTGAGCTGATGTTCACTAGAAAAACTGACTCAAAAAATGTAAGGAAAACACTTTGTCAAATTGAGCTAATACACACTTAAGACTAGACAGGAAAGTGTCATAGAGTTTTGTGTTAGGGACTCGATCAGTGTAGTGGCTTCAGTAGCAAAATTGAAAATTGTGCTTCAATGGTGTCTCGAAATGATCAAAGACTGGAATGAGATATTAATAACAGATGAATTGGTTTTCTAAAAGCATGTTTTGATGAAAAAATATGCTTTTGGTCACATAATTACATGAAGTATGAAGTTTGCAGTGAAATACGTAGTAATCTAATTACCAGCAAAAACATCTCAAAAGTTGATATATATGAAAGTTCAACTTGTGCCATGTAATATAGAGTGGGTAAATCTCATAAATGAAGTGATAAAAAAATAAAATAGTAGTAATAATAATGATGTCGCAAAAATAAAGGACATAGTTGCAAGTGATGTTCTTCTCTTCGATAATGAGTATACCGACTATTAATGAGTATACTGACTCTTGATGGATTGAATCTGATGGAAGGATTGATGTACTGGTAGGATTAGTATAGATTACATTTTCAAGTAACAACCAAGATACATCAGAATATGTATAACCTATACTATAACCTATACATCTGTATAGGAATATACAAATAATACATATCCTATGGAGTTACACATTTCTATGTATAATACTCTCTCTAGAATAAGTATATAGGTTAGAAATACAGTTTAGAAAAGATTCTAGAGCACGTGCGCATAGGAAGTGTGCGTGTTGTACGGATGTTGTTGACGATGATGGAAAGGTAGTGAAATTGGACGTGTGTGTGTGTGTCCTAATATTATTGGTGCACCAATTTTGCGAGCTAAGCAAGCTCAAGCAGTAATATTGAGCAAACATCCCTAAGTTGGTTGTGTATGCCTCCCTACCACTGATAAGTTATTTGGGTACCGTAGTGTATGGCCCTATCACTACCGTATGTGTTTGAGGAATTATTCATCTGTCACATGATCACATCACTGGGAGAGTTGTGTATTATCCTAGTACAACAAGAAGAAAGAGAGTGGATTTTATTAAGAGTTTATAAATTGACGTGTCTTAGTTGCGTCTGGATCATTGCCCATCATTAACCAGTTGAGTTATGATGTTGAGTTGATTTAAAAGTGGGATTTATTTTATATGTATTATTAAATTCTTTACTATTTGATTAATGAAGTGTATTAACTACTGAGATATTGTAGTTAATTTCAATTAGCTAGAATATTACTTACTGCGCTTCCAAGCTCACCTCTTACTTTATATTTTTCCACATTACAGGTGCAGCTTGTGGTGGATTCTTTTGTATGCGAAGACCACTTTATTATCCTTTATTGACTGCTTAGAGAAAGACCTGACGTTTAAGTAGCATATATAATGATCGGAACTTGTTTAGTTTTTGAATAGTAGCCAGATTATGTTATTTGGATATGGATTATGGTGGTTACGATTTTGTTTTATGTATATATTTTTGACAATGTTAGTTACTGTTATTATCATTAGTTACTGTTGAGTTGTTAATTTTGTGTGATGATTTGAAATTAAGTCACGCATGGGTTGAGTGAAAGGTCAATGGTACCCAGGGGTATGCCAATGAGTCCCATCAGTCCTTCAAAAACAGGTCCCATCTATTCTTATATATTTATGAATTCAAACACATCTAAACTTATATATTTATGTTTTTAGACACAACTGAAATGTCCGGTCCAAGATATGCCTAAATATATAGTCAAGTGTTCCAAGCAAAAAGCATAAGGGCTAGCAGACCCATACTTTTAACGTTGTCACCCAAAAAAGCTTTTACCAACTGCACCATTATTTTGGAATAATGGTAGACTATAGCTAGAGCAAGAGTATAGAGAGATTGTCTTCACAACTGCAGACTACTCCATACCAACCAAAGATGGAAGGACGTAGGTCAATTTAAAGCTTGGGGGTTCTATCTTGCTTATTCATCCGGGCGAGATGGAGGGATCATTAATAGTTGTCTTTTGTATTTGTGTTTGCACGTGTGTATATATTCAGGAATCATAGGCTGGACTAAAAAAAAAAAAAAATCGGATTAATTGGGTTATTCTGCCAGCCTGTGTCAGGAAAATATTACTTTGGTGTCAATTTATTATTTTATAATTCACATAATGAATATTCATGAAGTAGTAATTTATGTTTTCTAGTTGTTAACTATTGGGCCTAGTAAAAAAAAAAAAAAAAAACACTATTGAAAATAGGCTTGAAGGAAAATAAATGAATCATTGTCTTGAATCTAGGTTAACAATTGTAATATCACTATAACCTTTATACATATATACACACACATAATTTTTTGCTTTCCATTTCCAAAAAAACAAAGTGGAGATACTTCTTTAAAACTAAATCTGCATACCCAGAAAAGCCATCAGCAACAGCAATCAATGACTCCTCTATATTCACAAAGAAAGCATCTTCCGCACCCGTCAACCATTAAAAGAAAACCAAGAGTCACAGAATGTGGTGAATTTGAAAATAAAAAAATTGATATTTGGAAAACCCTTAGAAGCACTAAGCACTAGACTTAAATTCCATAAAGAATGAGGCGACTTCCAACACACAAGTACGCCTATGGTATGGAAACAAAGCAAAATAAATCAACTATAATAATCTACTAATGCAAAAAGAACTATGTTAGAGTTGATAAATCTAACAAAAACAAATCTTTAAAATAAAAAAATAAAAAACAAAGATTGAACAAAATTCTAAACGTTAGGAAACTTACCAGGCTGACTACCGGATCTACTTGGAAGGAGTCGGGCCTCCATCAGAACCGCCGGACCTGAAGCCACTTAACGGACCCACCAAACTCCCTCCCACCACCACCCGCCAAGAATATGGACCGCCCACGATTCCTTACACGGTCATCTCTTTAAAAGTTACCCGCCTCCGCTGTGTAGGTACGAATTCTGAATCAAAGTCTACTGAAAATAACATATTATATATACACGAATCAACAATCACCCGATTCAATAAACTGAATAAGTCGCTCTACCTTTATTATCTCTCACATGGATTTCTTTCATAAAATTAAGAATAGGATTCAAAAAACCAGGATAGAATAGACTTCATAAGATCGGATTCAATAAACCCAAAAGAAATCAACGAATTGAAACGAAAAATCGAGAATTAGAATCGGTAAGATAGTATGTGTCGGCCAGATCCCCAAATATGGGGTTTTGGGGAAGAGAGAGAGTATCGGTAGGTTTCAGCCGCAAGAGATAAAGATCCAATCTTTGGGTTATATGGGGGAAGCGATGAGATAAAAATCTGATCTTTGGATCAATTGTAACTGACAAGTGCCGATTGGGATCCTCTGTCAATGACGACGTCGTTTTACTGTTTTAATTAGATCTGCGGCGTTAATTAGGGCACCGAAGGTCATACGCGACGTCGTTTAGTAAAACGGAGGCGTTAATTAAGGCAACGATAAAATATTTAAACTTTCCAAAAATTGCACTTTACACCCTCTCTCGTTCATCCTCAACACCCTGTCTCTCTCTATTTTCAACTTCTCTTTGTGAATCAATCAACCGCGAAGCCCTAACCATCAAACTTTCATCTCCATGAGAACACCTTTCTCGCTCTCTCGATCGAAGCCCCAACATTCTCTCGGTTCAGTCTCCTCTCAGCCTCATTATCCCCAATCTCTCATTCGATCGAAGCCCTACTTCAAGACATGCAATTGAATTTACCAGGTCTTTGTTTCCCTCTATATCTGTATCGCCATATATATATTTATACACACACATATGTCAAGTTGTTCTGAACATCAGCGCTGTTCAATTTAATTCATTTTTATTTGGATACATCATTTTGTTAACTGAATTAATTTATCAGGATTTACTTAAATTGATTGCCTTTATATTTTCCATTGGTGTGAATCCTTGCCTATATACTCTTCACAACTAAAGAAAATCTCAAAAAACGCATTTATAATGTCACATTGGCTGAGAAATGCTACGGCTCAAAAGGGGTTTCAAGGACTATTAGTCCTGGCATAGAGAGAGCTCTATTTGGTGTTATAAGAAAAACCAAAACAAGAGTGAACCTTAGTATAATTGTATAGAAACAATGCACTTATCCCAAAAAAAAAAAATTGTATATAAACTAAGCTCTATTTTCAAGAAGGGTGCAGTCTGTGAGTGGTTGATATACATTGTTCGATAAGTTATCTAATTGCTCTTAGAGGAGTTTTTTTGTTAACATATACTTCAAGTTATATATTTTAATTGTTTGATCTCTTAATATATTTCCTTTTTTAATATGTATTAATAATAATAAAAAATTAAAAATTCCCAAAGCGAGGGGAGAGGAATATATGTTAGTTTATATCCCTTTTGTTAGATGGGTTTTTTGGTTACAAATGCACTTTATTATTTACTTGCTGGGTGCTAATTACAATTTTTTTATGACAGGGCTTCCTTAAATTTTTCAGGAGAATGATCCGACATTGTGGGAAGAGTGAAAATTGCTGATGCGCACAAAATGCAGACCTACAGCATGACTACTAAAAATTCATCCAAGCTTTGCTGATAAAGCTGATCAGCGAGTTTATACTTGCAGCTGTTTCAGGGCCTAAACTGCTAATGTTATCTTTGAAGTTTTGATGGCTGTTAATCACACTCAGACTGTGGAAGTTGATCATTAGGTGATACTAATTGCATTCTCTTGTGTCGTCTTTTTGTACTTTCGATAAGAGAACTGTCTAATGTGGTTCTTACAAATGGAAGCTAAAATTTCTATCAAATCAAGAACTTCTATATCATAATGGCTGTTTCATTTCACATAATATTGATAACGCGATGATTGATCTTTACACAGATATTGGAAAATCATGATTAAGTTGGAAAAGAAAAAGAAAAAAAAAAAATTCATGTTCCATATGATATTCTTCCTATAAATTCTGATAGTGCACATCAGGCGAATTATGAGATATCTGGAGGTCTGTTTTCAACTTCTAACTTGTCCTTCCTCTCTCTTTACTTCTATCAACTTCACTTTCGCTCTACCTAATTATCATTGAAATGCCACTATTGCGCGCTTTGCAGATTCAAGCCACTGTTTTGCTCTTCATAATACAAGCAGTTTCCCATGGCTGAGAAAGACTGAAAAAAGATGAAGCAATGTTTGATTTTCAGGTAAAATTTTCTTTAATGCTTGGATTTATTTTATGATTGTGCCTAACACGTGGCCTATCTTGAAAGGGCCATTACCGAGTGGAGTGTTGGGAGGGATCCATTGGGCACAGACTTAAATTTTCTTCATAGAAAATTGATTTTAAAGCCTGAAAGACTGGCTGAAGAGGCCAGCTGAGTCTTCAATCTTTTAGGCATATGTTCTGCATATGTCGCATGAAGTGGTTATCTTTCATGTTTGATAGCCTGAGCGTCTACAATTACATGACCATTGAAAGGAAAAAATATAAAAAATTTGTTTGACGCATGCTGCTTGGCTTTAACGAAAAGCAAATGTTGGTGATTTTCTTTAGCTCTGTTACAATTATTCTTTTTATTTAATCTGCAGAAGGATAATGTGGCAAATCAAAGGGAGCACCTGCTTCTGCTACTTACAAATGTGCACGTTCGACAGTTACTGAAGCCTGATCAACAATCGAAGGTTTGTTGGTAATCTGCATGATTTTTTCCGTAAGGGATACAATCTCTCTTTTAATTTTGTTCGAAAAAGACTCTCTTTCCACGGCAAAGACGTATAAGGCTTTTTTAGTTTTCTTTTTAAATTATAATCATCCAGGTTATTGCTAATGTTTTTTTTTTTTTTTTTAAAAAAATAAGCTTTAAAGTGATTTAGTGCTACATTCTCCTCCACTCGAGACCTGCCTATTTAATTTTTTTTCTGCTCAATACTTTGGCATCACCAAGTCTCACATTGCTTCCGTAACCTCCATTGTCCCTGTAATTGTTGCTGCTCTTCCCATCATTTCAAAGTTCACTACTACTCTCTTTATTTTTCATGCTTTCTAGAAGTGAACATATCCAAATTTCAAATTTTTTTTTTTTTTTTTCGGTAAGTACCAAACAATATCCATATTTCAAAGTTCACTGCTACTCTCCTTTGTTTTTCTTCCATGTGCTTATCGCTTTGGGGTTGAGCTGTTGACCCTGTCTCGATTCCAAATCGGGACATGTTCGTATCTATTCGATTTTTTTATCAAGTCTAGTTTGAAATTAGTTCTAACAGCATTTTGGACTTGCTTAATGCTTATTTGGCTTATTAAAGTACATTATGGGAATTATGAATGGCACTCCACTCTTTGAAGTATATGACCTAGGATTGTTATCATTTCCTTAGTAAACATATTCAAACCACTTGGTATTTTCCTAATGCCATTTTCCATTGTGTTTTCTCAATATCAGATTTTATTTCCTTCAGTTCTGATCTATAATTACGAATGGGGCATAATTCTGTTGTAGTTGGTTCGCTGTTATGGGATTCTCCTTGGAATAATTTGATGACTGGTTTTATCACTTGCTCTTGTGCTCCTTACTGCTCCTTAGATGTGGCTTGGTGTATACTTTGTGCTTAGAGCTTTTATTCCATTTTCTTCATCATGTATTCCTTCTTCTTTTTTCTCTCGAAAGTTAAAGCCAAAAAATGCGCATGCACTCACAATATTGCCCCTCGTTTGGTCCGTTTGCTTCATAATAATATGGTGCTTTATTATATCGTCTTTTTCTATACTATTTTGTATTTAATTATGATTTTGTCATGTTATTTTACTGTGGTTGTATTCAATTTTTTGCATTAGGTTGGTGAGGTTTGACAGAAAGAACCAGATGTTATCATACAAGGCTCACTTGATCTCTTGTCACCATGGACCAGAAAGCTTTGTTAAAAGAGTTCCGAAGTCACAAAGATGTCATAAAAGAGATGGGAAGCTTTCAACATTTTGATGTGGCAGGGTCTTGCATCCATTTTTCTGTTTAAATGTTCTTGGGTTTTTTAAGTATTAGGAAGAAGTTAGAGGATATTGAAGTTTTCTAATGTTTCTCTACTGAAACATACTTTTTTTTATGGAGTGTTATGGTAGTGGAATCCTGTAATTCTCTGAATTTGGGTACTTGAAGATCTGTATATCGTGGTGTGGTTGTGCTGTGTTGAAAAACATCCTTTTCTGGTATGTGGTATTGGGGTGCAAAGAAATGTAGTTATTAGGGTAAATACAAAATTATAGATTGATGAATAGAGAAGAAATAAATGATGTAATTGTGACATCATCATTGTAAGAACAACTGACCTAGGAAGTCTCGTAATCTTTCCATTTCCATAGTGCTGCCACTTAAGTAATTCTTTTTCCTATAAAGCACAGACATCAAATTAAGTTAATCCTTTTTATTCTTTAGTTGTTTTTTAATGTACTGGTTTTTATTTCAGTTTTTCAATTTAATATTGTAGTCAATGAAACCTCTTAGGCCATGTTTGATATAAATGAATGAAATCAAATGAAGCAAAAATGGAATGCTTTTGTTTTTATTTTTTAGTTTGATAACTAATTTTAAAGTTGGAATGATGATTTCTAACCATTCTTCGAGAATGATGATTCCCATTGATTCATTTCACTTTCCAACTAAAGGAATGGTGTAACGACCTTCATCTTGGCCAGATACAATATTATCTGTTTTTAGCTCACCCGGACCAGAGGACCAGAGACTTTCCAGGGAGTCACCCGTCTTGCGGTCCTGGTATTACCCTACATTAAGCACTGGACCGTCTCTCCTACAAGGCTTCTGGTCGCGGTGAGTCAAAAGTGGACAATATTGTGTCTGGCCAGGGTGAAGGTCGTTATAGATAATATCACAGCTTGATTCAGCTGGAAGTGTGCCGATGGGGATGTCGGGCCTCCAAGGGGGGTGGATTGTGATGACCCTATGGGCGGGTGCGAGATATTGACAGCCTACCACACTGGCAAGTTACGAGTATGCACCCCACATCGCCTAGGTACAAGAAAGGTAAAGTGTTTATATGTGGCGATATATCTCCAATTGGTATGAGACTTTTTGGAGTAAAACCCGGGAGCAAAATCGTGCGGGCTCAGGCACAAAGTGAACAATATCATACTATGTGGTGGAGTGGGTCATTACAAATTGTCATTCCATTTCCACTTTAATTAAAAAAAATAAAAAAAATAAAAAAAAAAATATTTGATGAAACAGTCATAGTCAAAACGGTGGCTATGTTCTTCCCCTCTCTCTCCACCTGAGAACCATGATTGGTTTTTGGTCTCATAGCCGCGAC